AGTACAAGGATCACAGGCAATGTCAAATAGAAAATTTGGAGAGCATCCAGGGACTGAGCTGGGTACCACACACAATGTGGAAGGAGTGGCCCAGAAAATGAGAGGACTGAAGAGGCACAATCACACAGGCTGCTCTCCAGGGAAGGGCAGGCAGGATCTGATAGCCACCCCCAGGCCAGCAGGATCTGATAGCCACCCAAAGCAGGGGAGCATGGATCCCAGCCAATAGGGAACTTAGGGGCCCCAAAGCAACTTGAATGTAGGGACTGTGCATGGGCCCATGAAGGGGTGGGAGAACCTGCCCCAGTCTTGCCCCAGGACAAGATCTGGACCCTGCAGGCTGGGAACAGAGCAGCTCCTGGCACAGGGAGAGGGTGTGGGGGCCTCAGATGACCCTGACCAGCTCAGGGTTTGGAAGACCATAAGGGCAGGGGTGGCTCAGCTGCCGGGTCTGTGCTGGGACCAACAGGTTCTCCCCACTGCTTCTTCCCCTTCCACCTGACTCCTACTCATCCTTTGGCCTCAGGGAGGAGCCAAGTCCATGCAGGCACATGGCACAGAGGTTTCCTGCTCTGCATCTCAAACAACAGAGCCCACCCCATCCTGGGCCCTAAGCCCTTAGACTGGTGCCCCTCCTCACCACATCCCTGCTGTACCCAACTGGAATGGAATTTTTCTAAACATTGCCAGCATTAAAGACGTTTGATGTTCTATTTAATCTCAAGGCATACAGATGTGTAGTTAGTTAAAAACCTCACCTTTGAACTCAAAGGTGGGCGGCAGAAGGCACCACCCCCATCCCCAGTCCCACTTCTGAGGGAGCTGGGGTTCTCCATGCCCTCCTCCCCAACTGCACATATAAGCATGGGCCTGTCTGTTCCCCGCCCCACTGTCTGGCCAGCACGTGGTTCTAAGTCTCACTGAACACCTCAATGCCCATTCCCCATTCCCCGTGTCCTTTACAAGGTCATTCACAGGCTATTCAGGTTCCAGCCTCACTGCATTGTGTGTCCTGGCCCTGATGAATGTGCACACCTCTGTGAGGACACTTGGTGGGAGGTTCCTGCAGGTGGGGTCACTGAGTCAAAGAGCACTAACATTGGCCACCTATGTAACGTTAGATCTGGCAGATTGCCACCAAAAGAGGCTGTGCCTGCTAGTCAGCACAGGGACCTTTCTCTGAGCTGGGGTGGGGCTTTAAGGCTGGTGTTTCTGAGTTGAGGTGACTACCCAGCTGGAGCAATGCCCCCCCGCCAGGTGTCACAGGACACAGCTCACCCAACAGCTGGCCTCTGGGGGCCTGCAAATGAAGACACCCATCCACCCGATGGTGATAGATGAAGACGTCTATTTGGCATCTGCCACTCCTGGTCACCTCCTCAGCTAAACTCTGACTCGAGCCTAGTCAGAAGCCTCCTTCCAGAAGCCCCTCCCCTGGGCTTTCTGAGGAGCTGCTTTGTCCCCAACAAATCCTACTCATGTCTCAGGGCTCCTCTGCTCCTCCTCTGGAGAAACTCTGACTTGCTTCCTGTGATTCCTAGCACTTTACAGTTGTGAAACTTCCTCTCTTTAAATATCTCATTGGATCATTCATTCCGTGTTAACAGCACCTGCCACATGCCCTGTGCATGAGTGTGGGGTGTGGGGCGTGAGCCAGCCCCTGCCCTGTGGAACTCCCCCATGGGGGAGCGCTTACACAGCCTGCAGAAGGGTCCAGCTGATCAGCATTCATCGAGCACCTACTGTGTGCGGGGAGCCCAGCAGGCACAGGGACAGGATGAACCAGGTGCTGCTGTCCTGTGACCCAGCGGGGAGAAAGGCAGGGGTAAACAAGTCACCTTGGATCACAGCTGAGATGGAGCCAGGAAGTGCGCTGCCCTGGCCTCAGGAAGGAAGGGCAGACGCTCACCAGCTAGGACTCAGAGCCGGGGCACAGAGGTGGCTGCTCACCCACTGGAAGGGCAGCTCCCCTAGGCCCAGGCCATGCCTGTGTCCCCTGCTGAGTGTGGTTCTAGGAAGACAACTCAGCATGTGGGAGGCCCATGATCTAATAGGTAGAGAGCAAACTACTGAGTTAGAGCAGTTCTGGGTTCTGGGAGCAGCTGAGTCTCCCACAAGTTAAAGAGCTTGCCCGGGCCACGCAAATTATCTATGGCCAGCTGGAGGACTTTAACCAGCTCCTGGTGCCCAGCACCCTGCCCCTCCTGAGGGCTTCCCCGAGGGGCCGGTCCATGGCCGTCACTTCCCTCCCTGCTTGTCCAGCAGCTGGACCTGCACTGTCCTGACTCCACTTTGACAAGGGTACCTTCCTCCTCAGCACGAACTGTCTTCTATCTTGGGTGTGAGAGCAGGATGCGGACATGCCTGCCGGGTGGCCCATGCGGCAGTCAGAATAGGATTGCTTGGCAGCCACATCCCAGTTCAGGTGGTGCCAACCTTGGCAATGAGAGGAACCTTGGCACCTGCTGAAAAAGTGCCCTGTGCTTTTCTGGCGAGGAGAGGTGCCTCACCTGGCAACCGGGAGGGTGGCCCCAGCCCAGGAGGACCCAGCAGGGCTGCAGCATGGTACATGGTCCTGTTCCCCTCCTCTGCCATCTCTCTCCAGCCCTGTCCTAGAATTTACTATTTGCTACTTAATGTCATGGTAACCTCGAGCAGCTGTGCTCACAGGGGAGCACAGACCCTCATGGACATCATAAGCCCACCACTGTGACTCTTCACCCCTTCGTGTTCACGCCCAGGGGTGGCAGTAGTCACTGACAGAGGAGTGGGCAGCTGAGAATGGGTCCTGGGAATTGGTACAGGGAGGCTCCAAGGCCCCAATTCATGTTCCATTGTCCCATCAGATGTCACTTTACAAAACACAAATGCAAAGACAAAAGAATGTCAAGATGGGGACCACAGAGCATTCAGCCCCAAGCGTTCAACCCCTAGGCAGGGAGCTGCAAAGTCTGTGTGTGTGTGTACGCCCCACCTTCCCCAGCCCCTTCACCCCATGCCTGCTCTTGCTGCATCCAAAGCCCGAAGCCTTCTCCTGGGCCCCTAATGGGCTCACCTGGTGCCCTGTGATCCCTTGGAGTCCTTGCTCTGCACCACAGGTGGGGGTGCTCCTGGGCCACACCTTTTGCCAGGATTTCCAGGCAAAGGGTAGCTTTGGGCCTCTGATAGGAGAGGGTTTGGGGATCTTGCTAGAACTCTGGCAACATCAAGGCTAAGCCAGTGGTGCAGCCAGGACAGTGATGGTGATGGGATCTCATGGAAAGTGAGGTGGCAGTCCCCCCCACCCCCATCCCCACCTGCCGGCAGTGAGGCACAACTGTGGCTAGTATATAGGAGGGCAGGCCCCAGGCTTTGGTCTGTGTGGGCTCAGGAAGGTCAGAGGTGAGTTGAGGGTGGATGGGGCAGGCCAGTGGGGCTTGGGGAGCTCCAGGCCCAGGTTAGGAACTCCCTCCTCCCAGCTCCACCCTGCCAGCAGGGCCCTGAGAACCCCACCCACCATTAGCAATGGCCCTTCACAGCCTGATTCCTCTTTTTATTCTTAATCAAGTACTTTTTTAAGAGGTTGATGCACTGAGGTCAAGCATGAGCTGAGCAGATGGGGCAATGAGAAAAAGGGGTGACGGGGTTCGGGGCCTGAGCAGGCCAATGAGCTGAGGGAAGAGGTGACCTCTGGGGAGGGGCTATGGGGGCAAGGGCCCTGCACCCCATCCAGTCTTCCTCTCCATCCTTCCCACACCAGGGCCTTTGTGACCTTGGGATCCCACCCTGCCCACCTTGGGAGCCCTGGCTTCCCTGAAGTTACATTCTTTCTCCCATGTTCTCTACCTGTTGGGTTTGAGGGCACGAGGGCCCCTGGGCTTGGGCTGGTTGGCGGAGACCATGTGGCTGTGACCAAGTTTGAGGGAAGTCATTCCAGGGACGGGGACACGCGATGTGGCCAGCAGCTCTGACCTGGGCCTGGAGCAAGTGGCGTCCCAAATCCCAGGCCCCCTCCAGACCAGGAGCCAGGATTCTAATTCAAATGGGAAAACGGACCTTGAGATGTGCCTGGTCACAAAGACCCTCCCTGAGGCCTAGGGAGGTGAAAGAGGAGGTGCCAGCCCCTCCCCAAGCCTCTAAACTCTTGGGAAGGGTGGGACTCCATTTGCTTCCCTCTTCACACCCTGAGGACCTGAGCGGCCTGGATCTGCCTGGATCTGCCGAGGCCCTCCTGCACCCCACTGGACACAGGGATATCTCAAGCCCCCTTTGGCTCCAGGGTTCAGAGCAGGAAGGCATCTAGGTAAATGGCTCCAGGCCCAGCCCTTCACTAGACACCCCTGTGACCCCTTCCTCTGGGGCAGCACTAATTGCATAGCTCCGATCACCTGGAACCTTCTGCTTCCAGAGGCTGCCCCTGGCACCAGGCCCAGGAAGTCTGAGCTCACCAACAGCATCACCAACTCCTCCTCTCCTCCCCCCTCCCTGAGGTCCTAAAGCCAGTGCCAGCCCTCAGCTGTCTTGGGAGGGGTCTTTGTGCTCTGGACCCTTCCCCTTGTCCTGGAGACACTGCCTGCTCCCATGGAGTGAAAGGAGATCTTTGGCCCCCACAGAGGCCCCCACTGCCCCAGCCCCTGCCCTGCAGCCTCATGACACACCCCCACCCCAGAGAGCATGTGATGCTGGCCCCTTCCAGAAAGCATTGGGCCCCAGCAGCCCTCAGGGGCCCCTGGCCCCTCCCTTACCTGGGGCATCTGGGGGGCAGGACAGTGCCTTCCCTCATCTCGCAGCTGTTTGATGCAAAGGCCACAACTAACAGGAGGCCGGGCCTGGGTCTCAGGACCTCTGAAGCAGCCTGGCTGGGCACATTCCAGGCCTGGCTATCCGGGGGCACTGTTACTATAGCAGAACTGGTCACGGCTGGTATTTCCTCTATGGGGCCTGAGGACAGGGCCAAGTGCTGGTGCTGTGGCCCAGAGCTGAGCCACTGGGCAGCCAGAGGCAGCCAGAGGCAGCCCCACATGGGGGCACTGTGGACCCCGCTCTCTGTGCACGTCCTAGGCCAGGACTCTGGCAGTACCCTGTCCTGGGGAGGCCAGGACCACATGAATGGGCAGGCCCTCGGTCAGCTGTGTCCCCTGGCAGAGGAAGAAGAAGAGGAGGGGCCCGAGGCCACCCCATTCTCAAGGCCCGCCTTTCTGGAGATGGGCTCCAAGGAACTGCGGCTGGCCTCATCCTATGACTGGCTGCTGACTGCCACGTTGCGGCCTGGGCTGCTGGCCGCTGCCGGCTTCTTCCACAGTGGTAAGTCCTGGGGCCTGAGCACCATTCAGGACCTCTGTGCACTGAGGGTCCACCTACTCCAAGGAGCCCATACCCTACAGCAGGGAGGGTCCGAGCCCGATGAAGAAGGGGCAGGGGTCCTGCAGCCCTTCACACTTGTCCCCAGCCCTGGAGTCTCTCCTGGGCATTTGCTTCAGACTGACAAGTGCAGCTGGGGAGGGGCCAGAACAACACAGCACAGCTGGACCCTGGCTGGGGGGGTCAGTGGTGAGACAGTTGGAGCTGGGAGGAGGAATGTTTGTGGGGCCCCGGGAATCCACACAGGCTCTCTGGAGGTCTGGTGGTGGGACATGCCTGCAGCCCCCATCTGCAGTACCAGGTGACAATTCTGTTGATAGTGGGGGAGTGAAGCAAAGAGGTCCCTCACCACCCAAAAGAATGTGAGCCTTGCAGCGCCCCTTTTACCTGTCACTGGGAATCCATCCTGGGGAGGTGGCACCTGGGTAGAGTTATGGGCGTATATACTCCTGTCTCCCGAAGCTCCAAGGTGACAGGGTGTTCTGGGGCCAGGGGTTTGCCCCACCCCCACCCCCTGCCTCTGTGAGTAATGTGCCACATTCCTTTCACAAATGTTCTTGTCCATCCTGGTAAGTGCCCAGATGCTGTTATCCCATTTCTCCTTTGAGAAAATTGGGGTGCATGTGAGATCTGGGAAGAATATGGGGCAGGGGTGGCAGACCCAGTTGTGGCCTCAGAGAGCTCCCACCCTATAAGAAAAGGCTACCTGAGAACCCCTGTCCCCAGCCTGGGAGACACACCTGGCCCAGTGAGAGCAGGGGTGCAGGGAGGGCCAGCATCTCTGCTCCCCCCAGGTCAACAGGACCAGGTGAGGTGCTTCTGCTACAGGGGTCTGCAGAGCTGGGAGCAAGGGGATGACCCCTGGACTGAGCACGCTAAGTGGTTCCCCAGGTAAGGGCCCTGCGGGAAGCTCCTGGGTCTGCAGTCATGGGGGTGTTGAGGTGGGGCTGGGGGCCCTCTGGGATGGCACTTTTGCTGTTTCTTCCTTGATGCTCAACAGAGGCTGCTTCCCAAACAGCCTTCTCAGCAAGTGCCCACCACTCAGGGACCCTGCCCTCCCCCCCTCATAGGACACTGTGGGGGGAACAGGAGCAAAAGGCAGGACCCCGGCCCCAGGGCGTTTACAGCTTGAACCTGATAGTGAGGGGGGTTTTCTGCCAGCCCAAACCCACCACCCATGGGGCTTCTGAGCTCACTTTCTTCAGGTGTGAATTCCTGCTCTGGACAAAAGGAAGGGACTTTGTCTGCAGCATCCAGGAGTCCTGTTGCCACCTGCTCAGCTCCTGGTTGAGTCCTGCCTTTCCTTAGGGCTGGGAGCAAGTGCTGAGGGTCCCTCCCCAGCCCCACATCTCCCTGTACTGAGGACACAGGTGTTCTCTGGCTCTTTTTAGGACCAATGGGAGGAACTGAAAGACACAGCCCCTGCTGCCCCTTCTGGTGAGCCATGGCGTGTGTGTGGCCTATGTCTGCTCTCTTGGTCACCTGCAGACTGCCCTGTGGCTGAGGCTGTTGGGTGTCCCCCTGCTGCTGGACAGCATGGAGAGTGAAGGCTGCTTGACCAGGAGTGAGGGTACTGTCTGGGCTGGCTTCAGGGGGCTGCAAGCGGCACTGTGTGTGTCTAGGGCTCCAGGTGTGGCCAGTCCCAGGGCAGGTGATGGGAATGGGGAGAGGAGAGGTGCTGTGTCCCGGGTGGCCTCTGCTGGGGTGGATACCAGCTATAGGCCGAGAGTTGACCCAGCTGCAGTCATGAGCCCACAGAGGAGCCGGCTATGCTGAGCTCGGCTTTCCATACCTGTGTCCAGGCCTTGGGGGCCAAGGCTCCAGGAACTCCAGGATTCAGATCCTGGCTCTTCTGACTGTAGAGCAGGTGACTTTTGCTCTCTGAGCTTCTTGCCCTGAGTTGTCAAGTGCTCACCCCATCTGGGATTAAACGGGGTCCAAGTGTCACTCTAGGAAACAGTGCCTGGCACCTAGTGGGGCTTCGTCTGTGGTGGCTTCGCTCATCAGGTTTATGGCTTTTCCTGGTGGCAGTCTGACTTTGCAACCTGCCACTCGGATGCTGATGGAGTAGCTGTGATGGACACAGAGGCCCCTGTGTTGAGGTGGTCCTGGCAACTGGCCACAGTGACAGGCTGTCTGCCTCTCTCCCATGACCTAAAGCCCCAGGCCCTCCCTGACCTGGGTCCAGCACCCCTGCCTTGCAGATTCCAGGGGCAGCCAGGCATGCTCTGAGTGGAGCTGGTGCCCAGCAGGACTCACTGAGGTCCAAAGAGGCCTCAGGTGGAGGCAGGTGTGGCAAAAGTATCCCTGGGTGGTGCTAACCATTATGTCCCCATCACAGCTTGTGGCTGACCTACTCCAGGAAGAGGACAGGGGCAGGGCAGCAGGGGGCAGAGGTACCTCTGTTCTGTGGACACTGCCTACCTCTCCCTTGTTCTTGTTCTGCCCCTCTAGGGCCCGGCAAGCATGCAGCATGCAGCCACCACATGAGGGGCTGGAGGGGCCCAGCGTCCTGCAGATGAGTGGACTCTGGGGATTCTGACTGTGGTGGGAGGAAAGGTTTTAGGGAGCAGGGGCTGGTCCTGCTGCCTCTCCTGTCAGAACTGGACCTGTCTCTGGGCCGGGCCTCACTTTCCCGCACAGTTCTCAGTCTTAGTCTATTCCTAACTGCCTACAGCTTCTGTGCACCTAGGCCCTGAGCTTCCCACACCCAGAAGAGAGACCCATTCAGAGGGTGCCAGGGAGCCAGGTGAGGGTAGGACCCACCTGGGGAGGGGCCAGCTCTTCTGCATCCTGGGGTGACCCCAGCCCACCTCCCACATCAGCCCAGTACAGAGGGTGGAGGTCACAGTGTGGGGAGGTGTCTCAGGCCCAGCCCCCCTTGGAGGAACCACGGGGAGCCCAGGCCCATACCCATAGCCTGTAGGTTCTTGAGCCCCCAGGAGCCCAGGACATGGAGGAGCAGCTGCAGCGACTGTGGGAGGAACGGACTTGCAAGGTGTGCCTAAACTGCACTGTGTCCATCGTCTTTGTGCCCTGCGGCCACCTGGTCTGTGCTGAGTGCACACCCAACCTGCAGCTGTGCCCCATCTGCAGGGCCCCCATCGCAGCTGTGTATGCACCTACCTGTCCTAAGTCAGGTGAGCACATCTGCCTGTCCTGGGCCACATGAGCATACCTTTCTGTGCTGGGCAGTGACCCCAAGCATGCCCTGACACTGCAACCCTGACACCGGGGTTGGCAGGCATTGAGACCAGGGCGGGAGGCAGCACTTCCTTTACCCCCAGCCCTGGCAAATGCCCTAATGGAGCCCTTACCTCCCTCAACGCTTAGATTCTTGCTCTGACCCTTCTCCACACAGCACCCTGGGTGGGGAGGCACTGCCTCCTGCTTGGGCACATTAAACCACATCTGCTGGGCACGTCTCTGCCTTGATTGTCCTTTCCTAGGACCCTGGACGGGACCTTAAACTGGGCTCCCAGGCTGGTGGAAATGTACCATGGGGTGTGGATGTGTGAACCTTGGATTATCATAGATGGGTGGGGCAGGGATAGGGACAGGAACCTGGCCTTCTCAAGGTCCTCAAGGGTCTGTGTGCCCCAAGATCTCCCCAGGGGTACAAGCCAACTGGGAGCTGCTAACTCACCCCTCTTCCCCACCCTGGGTGCCGAGTGTGGCCGCCATGTGGGCGCCTTGCCTGGCTCAGCCGGTCGCTTGGACCAGGCAGTGGGCCTGCCGAGGACAGCTGAGCTGGTCCAGCACCACTCGCCTGATTCCTGGCCCAGGGTGGAAGATGGCTTGGTGTGGGGAGTGGGGAGGTTTTACCTAAGTTTGGATGCTTTTGAAGATTCACAATAAAGTGATAGGCTTTTCCCAATGGTGTTCAGCAGCCTGTGTTCCTGAACCGAACCATGGGCCCCCTCCCCACCACCCTGCCCCCTCCCCATCTCTGCTCACCAGCAGGGCAGCACCCACCCTTCTACCCTTCTCCAAGCCATTTCCTCAAATGCCTCCTCATAAGGCAGCCCATTCCCCTCCCCCTTTCCCTGTTCTTATCTTTTCAGCATTTTTAAGGACCTCTACAATCTACTTGCCTAAGGCCACTTCTGAGACAAACTTGTAATTATTCACTAACTCCTGTTTCTTAGGGAAAGTGGTTTATTACCTACTGGGTACCTTGGGGACACTGTAGGACTATTGCCTAAGGTCTTTGTGAACAGTTCCAGGGCCTACCACAAGGCAGTGCCTGGCCCTGCGGGGGGAAGGGTCATTGCTCCCGGACAAACCCAACCCTCACCCAACAGCTGCAGCACCTGGTGAGAGCTCCGGCCAGTGTACACTGTTTAATCAGGAGCACCCTTCGTGGGGGGCCCGTGGGCTCACGCTGACCTTCAAGGTGGGGTCACATTTTCCATCTGGAAGTCCCTGAGGCCAGCTCTTTGCCCCACCTCTGTGGGCAGCCTACAGGGTCCAGCAGCTCCAGTGCAGGGCACCTGAGGAAGGGGCTCCTTGGACAACAGTCCCAGGCCTGTTGTGGAGAGAGGATGTGATTTTCTATCTTTTTTTTCTTTTTAGAAAAAGCACTTATAAACTTTTGGAGTTGCAGTCATCCTGGCCTGGGGCTAGCTTGCTGCCCCAGCTGGTATCTAATTGCTTGACCCTGGGGCAGGTGCTCTGGCCACCTGCAAGGCCCTAGGGGCAGGGAGCCTGGTGAGTCCCACTGTCCAGGGTCCCCTCAACATCTGACATTTGTGGTGAATCAGAGGCTGGAGGCATGAGGAGGGATGCTCTTTCACTTACGCAGGCCTGTGGGGGTAAAGAACCCTTGAGGAGCTGCTTCTGGCTAGGAAGGAAGGCTCAGGGGGTCAGAGGTCATTGGTCATCAGAGCTGCTGTGCTCTCTTCCCCTGGAAAGCTCAAATGCAAATGGGACAAAATCCAGAAGGGGAGGGCTTCCTGGGCTTTGACAAAGGAGTAGAAGGCGACGTCGGAAGGCCCAGCCCAGGTCTGGGGTTAACACCTGGGCAGGTCAGGCTCATCTGCAGACATCTCTGTGTTTGGGGGTAGGGGCTGGGCATGGAAGGAGGGGCTCACTCTGGGTGAAATTCCCCTGCAGACTGTAATTTCAGAGCCCCATGTGCCCCCCATCACTGACTCTCACATGTGCCCTACCCTGGCTCAGGGGCCTGGGTGAGGCATCTCTGTGTCGCGGAAGCTGGATGCCTGTTACCTCTGATGGCCTTGGGTCAAGGTGCACCCTTCACTCATAGGGTAGAAAGGCTGGGGGATTGCCAGGAGGGTCAGTGTCCCCAGGGGATGGCCGCAGGTGTGGCGCTGAAGGGTAGGCTTGCCCCTGAGGACATGGGTAGAATGAAGAAAGTGCAGCTTGACCAAGAACAGAACCACTAGCCACCAAATCTCAGGATGACCCCAAATTTCAGGATGACACAGCAGGCAGGGCTGGCGGCAAGGGCTACTTCAAGGAAGGTGAGGCAGGTACCCAGCAACCCACCCCCCAGCCTGGGTGTGCAGGGTGGGAACACTGCTCGTTGTGGAGGAAGAAGTCTGTTCCTCCAAAAATAGGAAACAAACACTCCAAACTTCCTGCCACAGTGAGACATCACCCATCTGGTAGGTGGCCTCTTGGTACCCCACCCTGACCCCTGGCATGAAACCAGCTTAGACCCAAATTCCCACGGACTTCACTGGGCATGGAGCTCCGGGGGTGGGGGGCAAGCCCCAGACCCTCTGCAGCCCCATCCCTGGTCTGGAGACGCACAGAGCATATCTCAGGAAAGTGGGGATGGATAGATGATGAAAGATGGACAGACAGACGATGCCTGGTGAGGCTGCCCCAGGACAGGAGCCTCAGGGCTGTGTAAGCTGACTGGCAGCCATACTTACAAGTACACTTGCCTGAACAAGAGGTTGGAGGGTTTTCAGTGACACGGTAGAGAAAATGGACCAAATCCACCAATGAAATCAACTGAAAGAAATCAAGACCCAAATAAAACAAGACCCAGACGATGAAAAAAATGGCAGAATGGAGGACACACCCAACCCTAAATACACAGTGATGGCAAGGATGGGGGTGAGCGGAGGGGTCCTAGGGAGGGCGACACCACCCCAGGCAGCTCAGACCTGGAGACAGAGCTCTCTCTGAACCATGAATAGTGCAAGCGACTTCAGGTGAAGTGTTTCAACGGGCACTGACATGCTCAGCGGGGAATGTGGCCAGAGAGCCTGATCCTCAGAGCTGGGGGGTTGGGGACTGCAGGCTCTCCCAATCACCGTTCATAGTCACAAACATCCCGCCCCCGCCCCCCCTCCTTTGAAGCTGTCTGCACAGTTACCAGGTGGCAGGGGCTTTCCAGGCAAAACTAATCTATTCCTGAACCCCAGGGCTGGCTCCTATCCTAGTATATGTTAATGCGACCAACACATGAAGCTTTTTGTCTCTCCCAGCCAGCTTTGGCCTGCGAGATGGTGGGGTGCTCACACAGCACCAAGGCAGCTAGGAGCTGGTCCCAGAGTGAGCCAGGTCTCTAAGCCACAGGATGGACAAGTGGACTACCCACCGCACAGCCACCTAACTCTTGGGACAGAGGCTCTGAATTCTGATCCCAGCCCCAGGGAAGGGTCTGCCCATGGGAGCCAGGGCCCCTGGTACACCCAGCCTCCACCCACCCTGGCTTTGTTTTTCTCTACAGGGCCTTCCCATGAGACCATGTCAGAGCCCAGACAGTTGGTGCCTATGAGGGCAGCTGAGTGTTGATGTTGCAACTCAGAGGCAAGTAGAAGGGCTCACAGTGGAGGGACAGTGAACACGAGGCTCAGATAGGTCCAGGCCAGCCCTGAGGTCCCGGGGGATGCCCAGCTAGCAGGGTCCTGTTCTCAGCTGCCAGGAGGGAGAGTGGCCTGTCCCCCCATAGTCTGAGGGCTCAGCCCTCCACCTGCAGCAGCTGTGGGGGCCGTGGGGGGCCAGCCCTGCAGAACAGGAGCCCTCAAACCTGCAGGTCTCGAAGTGAGCTGACCTCTGGTGGCCACAGCCTGGCACTTCTCCCTCACCTCTTCTCAAGTGGCTGGACCATCCCCCTCTCTGCTCAGACAGGACCCTC